CCTCTAGTAATATATTTACTGAGAAAAATGGTGACGTGTTCAATACTTATTTTACCCGCTGTATTATTAATGTTGTTTTTCCAATAAAAAACACGTACAGGTACAAAGGAAAGAAAGACAGATGGATACATACTTGGAAGATGAAGAGATAAAATGGGAGGGGTTGAGGAAGCGATTCCTCAGTAATAAATATGGAAAAGGAACAGCATGGCTCAGCCAGCCCTCCTACGAGCAGAATGTTATCCTGCCTCTCTGGCWGAATCAAAAACTAAGAGAAAAACAGCACTCAGGAAAATAGATGAAAAGATTTACACACAACCTCCTCTAAGGACAAATGAGTGTACAAAATAGGGGAAATGGATAAATTGACACATTTTCGTTTTAGTTTTTAAGCACGAAAAAGAAGCACTTAAAATGTTTTTTGTGGCTTCAAGTTGTGTTTAATTTTTTTTTCAAAATGAGTTGCAATATTGAACAATTTACAGAAAGCAGAAGATTGTGAGCAACATTTTCAAAAAGCAGCACCTGAAATGAACGAGTTTAGAAACACGGAAAAACAACCAAGTCTCATAGAAACATTTCTGCCTAAAAGCTTATTTAATGAACATTTTAAAGATATGATTGAAACAATTACATAACTTCAATTTATGAAAATATTTTGTGACAGTTAAAAGAAACATTCTTTTGTATTAAAGCATGATTGGGTTTGATTTATGATCACACYAGAGGCTATGCATCATGGGAAGTTTCAGTTAACTATTTGCTCTAACATTGTGGTTACATGCCACTATAAATTAGCTGTGTAGATTCAAGAAACTGATGGTGACAAGTAAACAAAGTTGTTTTTATCAGTATGAGAAATACTTTCTTTTCTTTTTAATATTCTTTTAAAGGGTTAGCATGTTCTCTCCGTGCATGCGTGGGTTTTCTCCGGGTACTCCAGCTTCCTCCCACACACCAAAAACATGACTGTTAGGTTAATTAATAACTCTAAATTGTCCCTAGGTGTGAGTGAGAGAGTGAATGGTTGTTTGTCTCATTTCTCTCTATGTGTGTCTCTGTGATGGACTGGAGACCTGTCCAGGGTGTACCCCGCCCCTCRCACTGTGACTGCTGGATATGGGCATGTAGGGGTCACCTCGAGTGAACTAGTGAACTAGTSAACTAGGAAGGAAAGCTGAGTTTTCTCTCTCGGGAGAGACTCAGTTTGGCCTGTTGGGTCTCAGCCCATGAGCTAACTAGGGGGGACCTATGGGACTCGGCACACCAGCCAGTCCCACCCCGAGGCTTCAAGTCTCCAAGTGTGTTTTTAACTCCCGAGGGGAGATTTTATTTTGAAAGAAGGAACCGGATGACCAGCTTGAACCTTTCTGGCTTGGACTGAAACAGACGAAAAGTTACCTGGGAAATATCTACTCTCCAAGGAACAGTAGGCGAGCGATAAAAGTTCCCTGACTGATCGGAGGTGAGACAGTTCCTACCCAGGGTTTGGTTAAGAAGCCACCACCAGGTAAAGCTGACGTGTTCCGGGTGACGTGTCATGTGGAAACTAAGTGACCAGAAGGGACGTGCTGATCCAGTTGAACCACACTTGATAAAGTAAAACCAGTAGAAATACTAACC